TCGAAGGATGTATTTGTTAGAAGTCTCTTTCTTCAGATTGTGTACCAAATCAGATCTTAAAATCGATTTTGTTGCTCCGGTGTCGACTGTAATTACACATTCTCGTTGATCAACTTTTCCGTTCAGCCATAGGTCGTTTCGATTTCGATGTAGTCTGGAAACGTTAATTACGGTACTGGGGGCGTCAATTCTACTAGCCAACCTCTGCCCCACAAAGTTGGCTCTTATTAGTTTTCCGCCCCTTCGTTAGAAGAGGCCGATCGTGATACAGGATCATCTTCTCTTCTTTTGCGCCATCTTGTCGCGCAATTTCGGCAGTAGTTATCTTTTAGGCGGTGTTTACAATCACGACGTAGATGGCCTTTTTCACCACAAATCCAGCATTGGGGTACACCTTCTGGCAAGAGCATTCTTCATGTACTTGGCGTAGACGTACGTCACTTTTTGATGCTTGCTTTGCCGATTCAAAAGTGAGACTGTGCGCAACGGCATCCTTGAGTTTTCGTTTATCTGACAAGAGAAGGGATTGCTTGAGTTCCGAATCACGAAGAGCTTTGATAAACGTATCCAGGGCAGTTTCGTCTCTATGCTCGGGGTCTGATGTCGGATAAGACAGCAATGTCTACCGTTCGATATCTTGTGCCAGCTGCTGAATGGATTCACCAGATCGTTGCGTTCTGTTTCTAAGCTGAGACCGATAAATCTGTTTCATGTGTTCTTCACATAACGTAAGTCCAACGCGCTAACCAGAACTTCATAGTTGAAGTGGTTCTCCGCCGGAATCGTCTGAAGAACCTCTGCTGCTGAACCTCGCAGGGCCAGTATCAGTGCTGTTGCTCGTTCTTTTCCGTTCCAACAGTTACTAGTTGCCGCTGCTTCGAACTGGGTTTGATAAACGTTCCAGGACATCTCTCCGTCAAATGCTGGTACCTTCAAAGTTCTTCCGGATGCGTGATCTAACGGCATGGCCATTTTTTTGGATTGCTCCAATTCTCGCTTCAATTTGTCTATCTTGTGATCTACCTGTGATCAAGTTTCTGCTCGATCATTTCTATTCTTGTTGACTGTTCTTCAATCTGTTCTGCCACTTCCAATTTTACGTGTTTTAGCTGGTCCTTGATCTGTTTTAACTCCTCTGTCTGTCGTTCGGACTGTTCCTTGACCTGTTCGGACTGTTCCTTGATCTGTTGTTTTAACTCTTCTGTCTGTCGTTCGGACTGTCGTTCTGACTGTTCTTTGATCTGTTTTAACTCTTCTGTCTGTCGTTCGGACTATCGTTCGGACTGTTCTTTGATCTGTTTTAACTCTTCTGTCTGTCGTTCGGACTGTTGTTTTATTTCAGTTGACATACTAAACAGAAGTTCCATCATTTTAGCGGTTGTAAACGTGCCTGTGCTAATTTCATTGTCTTCGTCAGCACCATCAAACTTGAATTCGTCTGGGTTCTTACCTTCGTCAATGAGAGCTTCTCTCAAACGTGCTACTAGTACTTCTTTGTTGCCACTTGTGACAAGGCTTCGTTTCTGTAGTTCTTCTCGTAGCTGAACTACGTTCAAACCACACAGTTTTGACATCGTGTTCTTTTTCTCTGAGTAGTAATTCGCGGGTCGAAGATCCCACTTCTGACACCAATGTTATAATATTCTCGCTGTCGTAACCGATTTACGATGCGACGGGTTCAAATCTTCGATTGAATAAAATACTTCAAACAGTTATTCGTTATTAAACTTTATTTACAGAAGAAATCAACTAATCGTTTATTTCTAGCAAATTCAAATTAACGCAACAATTAACTTTTAAATTGTTTAAAATCTATCGCTATGACAACGTCAACAAACAAATCAAATATCGCTTTAAATAATTCACCGAATCGCTATTCACGAAATCACAAAATCACGAATTTCACTAATCACGAATATCACTAATCACGAATATCACTAATCACGAATATCACTAATCACGAATATCACTAATCACGAATATCACTAATCACGAATATCACTAATCACGAATATCACTAATCACGAATATCACTAATCACGAATATCACTAATCACGAATATCACTAATCACGAATCTTCTTGCGACGTGCGCTTATATACTCTTCGCAAGCGTCGTTTCTAGATTCTTCCAGATGGTCCGATTCTAGCATACTCTAGAATGCTCCAGTCACTAGAACATTCCAGAATACGATAGAATCCAGTGCGTTCGGTATCACGGTTATAACAATATATTATTGTGCTCTGTAGACTTGCGAGCTGTCGATTGATACAACAGACAAACATTTAGCCATCCACCTGTACAATATATCAAAATCTATGCAAATGCCACGTAGTTGCTTTTCTTCAGGGTTCTGACTTAATATTATGACCTATTATCTCATACAGTCAAAAATTTCAAATTCATAATTTTCTGTTTTTGCTTACAGCTGCAAAAGGATTATTGGTTATCATTTTTAGTAGCAACACGTGGAAAATATCTTCATGGTTTTTACGGTTGTAAAATGAATTGGAATTCAATAAATTTTGGATTATTTTTAAAATGTTGATGGAGTTACGTGTGAAGAAGGTCGGTCATTAATGTCAGATGTGGCTTGGTTCAGTCGGGTATTTGCTCTGGGTCGAAGGTGGTTGCATATTTTTGCAAGCAGTCGCAAACTTATTGGCACACCACAATGAGGTGTTGCTCAGTTCCACCAAAGTGGTTAATGGGTGGTTTTAAAACAACAATTAAATTTAACTGTTTTTTCATAATCATCATTCTCACCATCATCCCAACTGTCTTTGTCGTCGTCATCAACGCCATCATAATCATCCTCATCATTCTCATCATCACCATCATCACAGCTGTCTTTTTCGTTGTCATCATCACCACCACAATCACCATCACAATCATCATCAAGAGTTGTTCTTCATCCATTTTTATCGCCATGTTGGTTCTGAGAACAATGCTGTAAACATTTTCCTTCGTCTGTTTTAACGCGTTATTAGGCGTCCAATCATCTGTTGCAGGTTCCTTCCTTCGGTTCCTCCTCTGTCTCGCCGCTTCCCTGCTCACAAAATTGTTTCAATTATTCATCCACATCTGCTAACAATTTATGGCAAGTTTCATTTTTCTTGCATTGTAATATGAACAACAAAATAGTAGTATGTAGTAAACATCCTAGCGATGTTTTATTTTAAATATTGTTAACAATGACGTCATGTTTTGTTTTATTGATTCAGCTGCAGGTACGAATCATGGGCAGATTTGTTATCATCAACGTCAATTAGTGTTTTAATTTAATTTAAATTTTCTCTGACGCGGTTTTCAATTTTAGAAATAAAAATAACTGACAACTTGGTCGAAATGGACAGACCGTGCAACTGCTCGCCTCTGCATGCATTTTATTGTAGGTTGCTTACGGTATTATCACAAAACACCAGGTAGGCATGCATTATAATGTAAATGTATCAACAAAAGAAATTAAAGCAAGGCAATCTTTAAATTTTATTCTAAACGTGAATCATGTCACAATTTATTTTAAAAAATACATGAAAATTCACCTTTAATAGTTGAGAATGGCGTTAAATGACCTTTTAAAGCCAGACTGCATTGAACAACTTATAATTTCGCTTCCATTACTTTTGAACAATTTGCTCGACAAATTGTTGCTAATGATTGCTTGTTAAACCAGTTTTAAAATGTCGACAAAATTTCTTATTTCAACCCAAGAAGGTACTAAAGTACACCCATTATAAATGAATGGTGCTAAAATGTCTCCTGATCGTTTAAATAACTTAAAATAACTAAATTTATAAAAATATGAAATTGAAATTTGTAAAAATTGTCGTTTAAACATTTGTTCTAGAAATGTTTATTTGACTTTTGATTTTTTAGCCTTAGAATACAGTTAAAATTTCAATTGCATGAATGAATAAAATTGTTTAATAATGTATGAAGCAGTATTCTTAAAAAGTCGTCACCTATGCTAAATTAGGATTGATTTTTTTTTTATATTTATATGTTCATTGATTCGGTGACCAGTTTAATGGCAGTACATTTATGGAGTATTTCATAAAATAATTCAAACAGCTTCTGAGATTGACTTACACCTGTCTGGGACACGAACAACATGCCCGCTTTTGTGTTGGTTTCTTGCTTCTATACCTTGATTAATTAAAAAAATCTTGTTTTTAACAAAACGTAATGCGAATAAAATTAATTAATAAACAAAAAACTCGATCGATCTCCACTAAATTAGTTAGAAACAGTTTCCAATGCTTACCGATGTTATATGGGTGATTGTTAACGTCGGTGGTGAAAGCTTCACGAACCCTCAATGACTTCCTTGTTGAGTCCACTTTTTAATTAAATTAAATTCTCAAATTATAAAGACATTTTATAATACAAATTTTAAAAATTGATTCGTTGGCCTGCATTTTAATGTATCCATTTACACATATAAAAAAATGAATTTACGAAAAGTCATGGATGGAAATCTTCAATTGGTAGCTGCAGTTTCTAGGCCATCCCTGCCTCGGCTCTGCATCATGCAGGTTGATTGAAAGATGGCGATGGCGAAGATGAGAGTAGGGGCAGGAAGGGTGAAAGGAGGCAGAGGAAGGATTTGCATGCGATCGATGGTGGAAGGCAATGAAGGCATGCATATTGGTGCGACTTTATGACGCATCACGAAGGAGTCAGTTCAAGTTTTGTCGCCCCATTGTGCATTTGTGTGTGAGGGTGTGTGGCTGTACGTTCCTGTCTTTAAACGTGTGTGCATGTACGTGAGCTCGTGTACGTGTGTGCACGTGAGTGTGTGTACTGTGAGGGTGATTACTCGTTTTCAGTCGGCATTAATCCATCTTTAATTCCTAACCGCAATCTGTCCCGAGTTATATTTCAAAATTTCAAACTTCATTTAAAACGTTTGCCTGAATCTTAATGTTTCCATTTACGCTTATATCAGCAGACGATTTTAACACGTCGCATATGCGTGTTGGAGTGTATGTGTTTCACTGCATGTTTGTATCATCTTTCTAGAGATATTGAACAATTTAACAACTGTTTATGTGTTTATTATTTATGTGTTTAACAATGTTTACGTGTTTATTATTTATGTGTTTAACAATGTTTACGTGTTTATTTTGCGTTTATGTTGTCAAAATATTTAAATGTGTAATATATTTATCCTATGTTAGCTTACAATCGAATCTATTGAAATGTTGGAGGAGTGCAATTGAAATGTTGGAGGAGTGCAATCGAAATGTTGGAGGAGTGCAATTGAAATGTTGGAGGAGTGCAATTGAAATGTTGGAGGAGTGCAATCGAAATGTTAGAGGAGTGCAATTGAAATGTTGGAGGAGTGCGATTGAAATTCACGTGCAAACAGCGTACAGGCAAGTTTCATATTGATAAAATTAATTCATCATCGTTGGACTGTCTGCCTGTATTGCTATACACCCAACAACCTCGCCTACTGGTTCGCCACTCTGCTGTTTGTGTTGTTGTCGAATTGTTGTTGTTGTTTCTAGTTATGCTGTTGTAATTGTTTGTGTTGTTGACGTTGTTGTTGTTTCTTTCAAAATTTTTGTATTAAATCATCGTTTACTGAAATTCAGAATTTCCAGCTGTGGGTGGTTGACTAATTCCGCTTTTGTTGCATTGCTTGTTGTATTGTTGTTGTGTTAAAATTCGCTATCATTTTGTGGCTGATGATGTTTCCAAAAATGTTGTTGTTGTTGGATGTGATTGTTGTTGTTGTTGGATGTGATTGTTGTTGTTGTTGGATGTGATTGTTGTTGTTGTTGGATGTGATTGTTGTTGTTGGATGTGATTGTTGTTGTTGGATGTGATTGTTGTTGTTGTTGGATGTGATTGTTGTTGTTGTTGGATGTGATTGTTGTTGGATGTGATTGTTGTTGTTATTGAATTCTGACGACTGGCATCAACTGATTGTCTAACACTAATCGATTTGATGACTGATGAGATGGATGGTGTGGAGTGGGTGGACGAGTGTAGTGCTCTTGGGTCCTCGTGTCATTCAAGTCCAAAGCTTGCCTGCCGTCTCTGCAACGTTTTGTCAAATTGTGAGGTGCACAGCCACCCACCCACGGCGATTATGTTGGTCGGGAGGAACATTATATTTGCGAATTTGTCCGTATTTGTCCGTTTTAAGGTAGACGCACACGTTCAGAACCGCATTTGGGATTTGAAAAATTAACCAATTTTATTATTTGTAATTTCACGCTTTCAAAGCAAGAAAATATTCAAACTGGATCGTTAATATTCGGAAACAGTCAGTTATGAACTTTTAGTTTAAACTCAGACGATGGAAGAATCTGGAAATAGCAGAAAAGTTATAAATTTACCTGAACTGTGCACATCCAAATAACGTTTAACTCAAGTTGCGTCATTGAACATATTTTATTTTATAAATTGAACAAATGCTGGAAAAGAAGTTTTAAGCAGATGCAAACAGATACGAACAGATACAAACAGATACAAACAGATACAAACAGATACACACAGATACGAACAGATACAAACAGATAAAAACAGATACAAACATATAAAAACAGATACAAACATATAAAAACAGATACAAACAGATACAAACGAATACAAACAGATACGAACAGATGCAAACAGATACAAACAGATACAAACAGATACAAACAGATGCAAACATATACAAACAGATACAAACAAATACAAACAGATGCAAACAGATACAAACAGATACGAACGGATACAAATAAATTCCTAAACTGACAGAAAAAAGTACAGAGCGTTGAACTTAGCGAGATACGACACGTGCAAGTGACTTACTATTGTGACGTAACATGATTAATTGGACAGACTCGTGTCCAAACAATCGGCCACCGTTCATTGAGTAGACGAACCTCCCTTCAAGTCTTCACTAACTTAATGGGTTTGTTTACTAGCTGCTTCACTATTCATCATCCTAATGTCGCTTTTTTCACTGGTTGTGACAACTTCTGCGTCTGTCAGAATCTGATTTTTTAAAGAATAATAAAATAATACTTCTTGTGGTTGTAATGTGTGTGTGTGTGTGTGTTTGTTGTTGGTTATTGTCGTGGTGATTGTGTGTGTTTGTGTGCGTGCGTGTGTGTGTGTGGTTGTGCCAGTGTCATAGTGTGTGTTTGTGTGTGCGTGTGTGTCCATGCATGTTGTGTTGTAGTGTGCGTGTGGTTTGGTGTGTGTGAATGTGCGTGTGGGTATTTTGTTCTCGTGTGTGTGTGTTGTGATGAGGTTTTTTGCTCTTATATTCAGCATTCTTGCAGTATGGTTAACCAAGTGCATTTTAAAAATTCGTGGATGGATGTTGGTTGAAGAAACGAACGCATGCCATAACAAAAGGCTGAACTTAAAATTCATCGAAGTTTGTATTGAATTGCTCTTTTTATTAAAAACAAGTTGGTAAGTTGGGTGCGTAGGACGGTACTCTGCCGGGTTAACAAGCAACGAGACGAAATATCCATCCAATAAGCTGGCATCTTCTTACAATCATTATTATATCAACAATTTCATTTTAACCATCTAGGCGACTTACTATTTACTAAAAATTCATCATCTTCATCATCATCGTCATCATCACTATCAACGTCATTATCATCACCACCTTCACCATCATCATTTGTTCTCAGCAAAAAATAAAGCACCATTTTAATTTGTTGCTAATCGGGTTAGTCAGCAGTTACATGGCAAATGATGCTGACGTACAGAGATATTTTGAAATTGGCTCTCCATGTTTGGCGAGTGACACCTCGAGTCATTTGGAGAACAACTCCATCCCACCCGATCCTGAAGTTGCCAACCAGAATCCTCCAATTGTGGCAGTGAGATTTCATTTTCGAGTGAATCTGAAATTTTGAATTTGAAATTTCAAATGAGATCATTTTTAATCTCATTTTAATTCGTCTCATCTCCACTCCACCCCCTCACATCTGTAACGAACCTAACAAATTTCAGAGGCACATGCTTGCAAGAAATGTTCGCAAGAAACATCTGAGTGTCATTCATCAGCCCACAACCGCGGCCTAGTCAGAAATTTACTTAAATTTGTTTTAAACTGTGGACGATTTATTTTGCTTAACATACAATTTCTAACAAATAAGGCTGTTAAAACAAGTAGTTTTTTTTACATAATTTAGCCCAACTTTACTTACTGTTGGTTGGGGTTTTTGCATATTTTATAGCAATTTTGTCTTCCCAGGTAACAATTTTCATTGTGGGCGAGGTTCAGCCCCTTCGCCCCCTTCGCAGTGAAGCTAGCGCTTCTTCAGTCCTCTCAACCGAGGCGTTCTTGAAATTCTGAAATTCATCATTGCAATTATTACGTCATAAATATTTTCATGAAATTATTTATTATTAATAAATAAATAAATTAATTAATTAATCGATTATTATGAATAAAATTTAATAATAACATTTCAGTGAATTTGTAGGTGGTTGAAAGGTGTGAGAAGAGCGAAGTTAGGAAGTGGCCGACCTTGTATCAAATTAATTGCTCTGCAGTTTCTGCGTTGAAAAACACTTTTTAAAACATTTTGAAGACATTCTTAATTGAAAAATACTAACATTTATAAATAAACGAAGACATTTTTAATTGAAAAGTACTAACTTTTATAAAGAAATGAACAGACAAATAAAAGCAATCAAATAAACAAAACAATGAAATCTTATTGCAAAAAGTACAAAATGACAACATTTAAATGTGTGCTGAAGCATTTCGAACAAGTAAACCAAGGCAAATAGTTTCAAACGTTTGTTTACATATTTGTAGGTTTGTTTGTTTGTCTTTGTATGTTTCATTGCCTTTAAAACAAGTCGGAATTTTTGTTGGTTTGATAGTAAGCGTAATGTGTTGACGTAACTGCTTGCAAACAAATATAAATCATATAAATCACCTACATAGCTTCAGGGGGCCTCTGCAGAAATTGAAATGCTGGATGAATGTATGTGTGTGTATGTGTGTGTGTATGTGTAGGTGTGTGTATGTGCGCGCGTTTGTGTGTGTGTGTATGCTGGTGTGTGGCGTATGTTTGAACGTATGAGTTTGTCGTTATTACAGTGTGTGTGGGTATGTCTGTATGTATGTGTGTAAGTATATGTTGTGTAGATAAGAGTAAATAGTTTGTATATCTGTCATCTGTGTGTGTGTGCGTGTGTATGTGCGTGTGTGTGTGTGTGTGCGTGAGTTTATGTATGTAGTTGTGAGGCTGTGTGGTTTTGTGGCATTTAGGGTGAGATAGGTTGGAATGTGATGCTGTCGTCACTCTTTGTCCCTTATTTAGTGTGGATGTTTAGTTATTTTGTATGCATGTGTGTTGTTGTTATAGTTAATGATATTGTTGTTGATGATGTTGCTGTTGATGTTCTAATTGTTGTTGTTTATGATATTGTTGTTGATGATGTTGTAGTTGTGGATGTTGTTGTTGTGTTGATGATGATGTTGTTGTTGATGTTGTTGTTGATGATGATGATGTTGTTGTTGTTA